ACGGGTTCCTCCTGACCTGCTCGTTCACCTCAAGGCAGCTGCAACAACCACTGGGACGTGTGGGCCCCGGACTCTGGTGGGAGATGCGTGTTGACATTTAGAAATGGATAGGGAAGCCAGAAGTCAAGATTTCCTGACTCACTTTAACGTGAGGAGAGATACACATTCTGTATTTTCAACCTTGAGTTAATCTGTAGCAAATTTATCGCTTTTCAGCTATTGGAAGGAAGGATTTCCTGTTTTGTTCTGTTCCTTTACTCAATCTCTCTGACCAATACTGGTGTGTCGTGTCTGTTCTTTTTGTCTTCTGAAAGACAACAGAAGAAGCCCAGGTACTGTATTTTTTTTGTGGAGCTAATATACAGACCTTCAGCCACAAACAGTCACAGTGCTCTTCAAAACTGCAGGTTGTCCACTTTCCCAAGGAAGCAACAGTAGAGAATTAAGGCAACTCTTGATAGTTTTGCCACTGCCTACAGGGTTTTGAATAGTAGGAATGTAATTAATCAGCATTTTTGGTGCTCAAATCCAAGGCATAATAGTATCTTTACTAGGAAGAAAGGTTTTGTTAATAATGGATAAAATCCTAGTGCAGATACTTGGTTTGTAGTTTTAGCATGTGTCGGCCCGTCTAAACAGTGAGAATGTAAAATCATGCCTACTTGTGAATGCCATATATCTAACCAGAGTGAAGTGTGTAACCACCAGAAACAAAAATAAGACTAGAGCTTTCTAGCTCACCTTCTTTGGACTCCAGTAGTATTACCTTTTCTCCCCAGTTTAAATATAATTCTGTCTAGTTGCATCTGCAGTTTTCTTCAAAAATGCTACCGGCGTTTTTTTAAGTCTATAGGTACTCTCTCCTGTATATGATGGTATATCCAAGAACAATAGTTGCCTGAACTGCAAATAGGCATTTCAGATTCCTAAAACAGGAATATCTTGCTCTGCTTTGCAATGCTGCCTAGAGGATGAGCTGTGGCCAGTTCTTCAAAAGTGTTCAGAGCCTTCTATTAAAAACAGTGAAAGCTTGAAAAGCGTTCAGCAGCTAACACAGGTTGGTGGAGGTGTGTAAAGCTCTTTGAAGAGCTATGGGAGAAGTCTCCAAAGGGCTTGTTCAACCCTATTGATACCTAATAAGATTTGGATCCAAACTCCTGTTAAACGGCTCCCATGATCCGTGTGTTAGCTATATGCTCTGTATTTATATGTGCAGTTGTGAGGACAGGTTTAGCTTTACACAGTTGAGTAATGTCTGCTCAGATACATTTAAATGAGATAAGAATTGAAACAGACCCATTTTCAAAGGGCTTGCCAGAGAAAATGTTACTGATTGATTGAGGTGGATTTTTCACACATCAGTGACCAACCCGGGGCCTTCCCTACATTTGATCTATGCCTGTCCTTTATTTAAATTCTAATAAATCTTGAAGCATATGGTTTTTAACAAATGTTTGTATTATACTAGGCTAGGTTTGAGTAGAACCGTGTGTGGTGGTCCCTGTTACAAGGGTGTCTCTTCTACCCTTGTGCCAGAACGCTGTGGAGGATGGGGGACTGAGGGTGGGTTTCTGCTGGTTTTCATCTGTTTGCTCCCTACAGTGACTTAATTCTTGTTGCTCTATTGTGTATGCCACGTTGTAACGCCACAAAGCGGCAAGCGTAACAAAGCGCGATCAGCTTTTTCTGTGTTTGTAGACACTAGCAAGGAAATAGTTGATGACGAATCTCAGCAATTCAGTACGTGGGACTTCAGGCATGCTGGCGTTCGGCTCTGACTTCATACCCCAGAAATGCCTCTGGCCTTTTTGTAGGACGATTCTTATACCTATTACTGCAGAGTGCTTACCTGTGGCTCTGAGTGTAAATGCATTAAACTCTTAAGTTTGTTCAGGTTTTTTTGGATATTCATGATAGGTGTTCAGGAGTCTTTCAAAGTTGCTATTCATTTTTGGTTTGCAAATAAATTATTTTCAGGCCGATAGTCACCATTTATGTGCATGAGCTTTGCCACAGCATGTTATCCTGTTGTGTAAAAAATACCTCTTAAAACTACAGTAGAAATAGAACAAAACGACAAGTTGAAACATGAAGTAAAACATGCGAACCAGCACCCTTTGATATGTTTTTCCTTGTGTTTTACAAAAGGAAAGCTTTGTGAATACTTCAGCTTCAAACTTTTGTTACAGCTTCTCCACCTGCCTGTAAGGGGTGAGTGAAAGCCAGCAAGTCAAAACTGCACGGGGAAGGTAGAAAGGCAAAGGCGGCAATTCCGAAGTGTCGCACCACATGCTGAACCTGCCTATTACAAAAGATTATTTGAGTCATTATGCAGAGAGGAAGTGTTAATCATGGCAGTGATAAAACTGAAAATGAGGAAAAAGGGTATAGTTAGAAAAGAGACTTTGGCTGCAGAAAACCCACGTTTTGTTGCTGTCAACCTGTCAGCCAGTGGCTTGTACCCTCTTACATGTTCCACCTTACCCCTCCCAAGATCCCTCCATTCATGTTTAGCTTGGCATGTGATGAGTCTTTGGCCCAGTCCTGAAACATCTTGGGTTTAAAAACAGCTAGGAGTGTTTCTTGGTATTAGATTTGATCATTGTCTAGACCTGGATTAGAGGACTGGACAATGAAGACACTAAGCTCTGGAGATAAGGAAAAAAAAAATATGGAAGACAAGCAACTGGCAACAATAATTTTATTCTGTATTGGCATTTTGGCAGTTTTGTTTATCTACCTTCATTAGGCTCCAGGATCTTCTTGTCTGCATGATGGTGGAAAAGGAGCTGTTAAGTTTTCAAATTAAAACCAAAGAGTATTCTCAGGGCAAGGCTGTAGCGCAGCGAGTGGATGAAGTGTTTCAGATGTCGTATCGTGGATGATTACTGTCTGTGGCAGGGAAAGGTATCCAGTATAGTTGAAGGCGTCATATCGAACCATGGGTCTATAGGTAGCTGCCTTCTCACTTCAACTGCTTAAAGGTCCTGTCCCATGAAGCTCCCGTGGCTGATAGACACACTGGTTCTGCCAGCAGGTGACCTTTCAGGAGTGTTACCTGCTCGCGGGGAAGCATGTTTGGGCCACTGAACTGCATAAGTAGTTCAAGTTCTGGTGGCTGATTTCTACTGAAATGGGTTAAGATTTAATGGCTTACAACCACCTTTTTCTGTCATCCTGGCACTGCTGATCAGAAGAGGCTGGAGAAGGTAACTTCAGCTCCATAGATAGCCACATCTTCACCTGCTGCAACTGCTTGTCATGGAAATCCCTGTAGCCTGAACTATTACAGGGTTGTCTTTGAATTGTTACCCTTTCTTTGACTGAAATGAAGCAAAATGTTTCAATTTTTTTCCAAATAAAAGCAAGGCAGAGGTGGAAGTTGAGATGCCCATACCGTCTTTTACTGCAAGATCTATAGAGCATATTGTGTTTTGAGGCATATTAATTCAAGTAATGCGAATCACTGGCCAGCTGTCTTTTATGAAATAATTTGCTGAAGTTTGAAGTTTGAGTCAATTTTTGAATGCATTCTTTTCATTGGATATTCATGTATTTGGAAATGTGCCTCATCTCAGAATGATTCCTCTTCAATTTATATGGTCTAGTATTAGTTTGGTAGACGTCATCTTTATCCAAAAAGTACATCAAGCAGGTCCTGAACTCCACAAAACTCTTAATTTGACAACACAAAGGGTGGTGGCCATTAATTGCTGCTAGCAGACATTATAATTCTTATAGACATAGAGATGTAAATTGGAGTTGTGATTAACTATATTAGCACCCTTTTAATCTTGTGGCATTTCTAACCTTCCCTTTCGTGTATAATCAATAAAGCACATTTTTTGTTGCGTGCAATTTGAAATTAGAAGCATTTCCTTTTAGAGTGCAACAGTTGGCCTCTTAAATGATTTAAATACTAAACTACTGTTCAAGAAACAGTATAATTAGTTTATTTCAAACTTTGAGATGATCTAATTGTACCAGCCCAAAATTGTCACAGAGATTGCAAATCTGTGGATGACAGTAAAAGCTTTGAGTAGGGGTATTTGTGAAGTTCATAATACAAAGATTTGTACTGATGCCTACTGTATACCAGAACTCTGAAAGCCAATTCCAAGCTGTCTAGTCTTGGAGCAGGGGAAAAATCTCTTGCTCAACAACCCTTGTAGAACAAACAAGTGAAGTTTTACTGTACCTCTAAACACTGGTTTCACAGGTTTGAGGAAAGGTTACTTTGGCTTGCTGCATTTACTTGTTATGAATTCAACAATGTATGTATTGAAATACGGTTTCATCAGCTTTATGTAACTGGATATGAGTAGGTTTAGAATAGATAGTAGGCAAAGTATTGCTTTTATACGGCAGTCTTAATACAGAAGCCCAGCTCATGGAATACAAGGATGTTCAAGACAGTATTATTTCAACTGCAGTAGGTAGAAGAGTGACCCAGCTGCCTTCTAGCTATCCCTCACTGACTAATTATTAAAAGTATGCTTTCTGTGTTTGAGAGCATTCGATAGTTCTCTTGCCCTAATGTTTTCATTATTTGGGAGACAATACCTTCCTTTTCTTTTGAAAAGTCTGACTGACTATTTTGTCTCTTCTCTAGGTGCTGGAGTTCTCTGTGGCACTGAACTCGTCCTTGAGTGTATTTTTCCCAATGCAACTATTTGAAATGTTTGTCCAAAAAAACTAAGTGCAACTGACTGTTTGTACCGACTTGAAAAAGCAGAAGAAATAGTTCCAAAAAAGCTCATTCCGTCCCTGAGAGAACCGATGGATACACTTCACTGATGTGTGAACACAGATAAAAATGAAAAAGAAATAATTTTTTGCTTGCGGAAAAAATCTTTTTCCTGGCAGAGGTCTTTTAGCTTTGCAGACTTGTAAGCTCGTGTTGGAGAACTTTACAAGTGTCCTTATTGTGATCAGTGAGCATCCCCAAAGAACTGAAACCTTACATTAAAACACGTAATAGGGAACAGAACGTAGGAAACATGCCAACTCAGCCTCTCTTGGCATACATGGATGGACCGGATGGAATAGCCAGTACCGTTGGTGCACAGATGGAGAATAATGATGCCTCAATGACAATAAAAGGAACAAACACAATTTCTTACAAAAGCTTTCAAGAAAAGTTTCTCATGCAAGCTGAGGGATGCATGCCTCTGGACTGTATGTTTTGTGATGAGACTTTTAAACATCCTGAAGAACTTGGTAAGCATGTTTTAACTCAGCATAGGCCCACTCTTTGTGAACCAGCTGTCCTGCGTGTTGAAGCAGAGTATCTTAGTCCTCTAGATAAATGTCAAGTAAGAACAAACTTGCCTTCTCCGAACAATGAAAAGGACAGTGAAGAACTTAGTTGTGAAGTTTGTGGGCAAACTTTTGATGAGGCTTTTGATGTTGAGGCACACATGAAAAAGCATAAAGATTCTTTCACATATTGGTGTAATGTATGTGGAAGAAGATTTAAAGAGCCTTGGTTCCTCAAAAATCACATGAGAACGCATACTGGAAAGCCTGGTTCTAGAAACAAGCACCAACAAGGTTCTGAAAGCCCCATAACAATAAATGAGGTGGTGCAGGAGCATGTAACTGAAAATGTAACGTCACCTTACAAAATTTGTATGGTTTGTGGTTTCCTATTTCTCAATAAAGAGACTCTAATTGAGCACAGTAAAGTGCACACCAAAGAATCGGTACCCAATGGTGAAAGCCCCCAAGTGACTGGTGAACCTAATGCAGAAGAAAGGTCTCAAAGAGAGGAATTTTTGCGATTCTTGAACTTAAGACCAAACTTGGTTCCAGAAAAAGACAAATCACAAAAACCTGTGAAATGGATAGCTGAACTAGATCCTTTCAACACATATCAAGCATGGCAGCTGGCTACCAAAGGTAAAGTTGCAGTTGGCCATGGCCAAATTAAAGAACCAGGGCAAGAAGGAAGTACAGATAATGATGACTCATCTTCTGATAAAGAAGAACTTGGTGAAATTTGGAATTCAAATAAAGGTAGCCAGACTGAAACTACAGGGAAGTCAAAAGTAAATAAAAACAGCAGTTATACAGGGAATGGTAACTTATCTCAAGACAAATTGAAGCATCCCGGTGGTGAAGTGCCTTCTATGGAGATGGATTCTAAAATGTCGCAGAACAAAGAGAAACCAACACACTGTTCAGAGTGTGGTAAAGCCTTCAGAACATACCACCAGCTAGTCCTTCATTCCAGAGTACATAAGAGAGACAGACGGACTGATGGAGAGACTTCAGCTGCTTCGAGGACGTGCTGTGGTGATATAATTGCAAGTCTGGATGAAAATGGAGCAGGAGAACGAATAGAAGGAGGCTCTGAAGATGGATCTGAAGATGGGCTTCCGGAAACACTTAATTTAGGTGAGCAGTGTTTTGAGCGCCTAAGTTTGAAATAGCTTTTACTGTATTGTGTAGGAACTCTTTGGAGCCAAAGAATGCATCTTGCCTTTCTCAGTTATATTTTCAAAACTCGGACAGGATTAGAAAAGTTCTGGTGAGGGATAGGCAAAAGAGAAGAATGAGAGGGAGAGGAAGGTTCTGACACGGCCATTTTGAGATCTTTGAAGTTGTGTTGGGCCTTCTTGCAGTTATGATTTGTATTACTGGAATCATTGAAATACTTTTAATAACAATCAGTCTAAGAATTAAAAGTCACTGTTTACTTACCCCTTCTCTCCCCCCTCTCTTGCTCTTCCCACCCTC